TTGCTTCTTTTCCAAAGCAAACAACTAGCCTCATTGGAGGAGGTTCAGAAAAACCCAGAGACGTACCTTTGGGTCCAGAGTACCCACTGGAAACACCTGCCTGAATCATAGGATATTTTTACTTGAGACCTCCCAGCGCTTTGTGATCAGTTTACACATGAAAGGGACAGAGGCCAAAGAGCAAACAGGAAGAGACCCACAGTTTGCCTGTCTATCTACCTTTGTAACCCCCCCCCCCCGAGGCTCAGACTAAGAGACAGCGTCAAGGCCTTCTCTTCCAACATGTTTATTAAGGTTGAGGACTTCTGTTCTAATCCCATTAATGCGTCCTGCAGATTTTATGCCCCAGGGTGATCATCATATATGGGTCTTCAGCTGGCCGATTGGAAATTGGATGTGAGCTCAGTAACCATAGTGTTTATGAAGCTAACATATTTTGTTTTCATGTTACATTTGGTAATATTCTTGATTGCTTATTTGTGCAGAAGAACCTTTGAGTTGTATGGTTTGTTTAATTTGGCAGATCCAGCTGTTCTGTATGATTTTTGACCTAAGCAACTGAGAACTCCTATGATTGGAATTGCATTCAGATGTCACAATTAACTGTGTTTAAATGAGAAGGAGCCCAACTTGAGAAGTTTGCGCGCGCGCACACACCCCCCCCTTAACTTCATAGTTAAGTGTGACATCTGAATAATGCTTAAATGTCTAGGAAAATTAAATTCTCACAGAGCACAGTAGTCCTGGGCTGATAATCCAAGATCCCAGTCAACAAAATAATAAATGCCTTTGAAGGGGCATCAGTATGCTTCTCTTTGTGCAAGACTATCTCCGTTCCTGAGTGGTACATTTCGTTTCAAAAAGACCATGCTGTACCTGGCTTGCAGGAAGTAGTGATAAAATGTAGCACAGTTGTCAATACCTGCTACTCCGCTGCAAACCACACCCTTAGCTTTGCAGCTCTACCACATTATCTGTTTAGATTATCTATTCCCACCCCTCACTGATTCTACAAAAAGCATTAAGCATATAAGCAATCCTGAGAGCACTAATTTCATTGTGCAGAGGAAGGTGTGCAATCCTGGCTATACTGAATATGTGTGAATTATGCTCGTTCATCTTGGGTAATGGGTGTCCAACTATTCTGAGGGCAAGAGGATATATATGTACAGGAGGCAGATCATATTGGGACCAGTGTTCCCTCTAAGCTGAGTTAGTCTGAGCTAGCTCACAGTTTTTTAGCCTCTGGCTCACACATTTTTGTCTTAGCTCAGGAAGGATGGCTCCAGAGCAAACTAATTTATGCTGTAGCCAAATCACAACTTTAATGCCAGTAGCTCACAAAGTAGAATTTTAGCTCACAACACTCCACAGCGTAGAGGGAGCATTGATTGGGACCTGCATGCTGTAAGCCCAACCAACCCTGTGTTCCCATAATAATCAGTCTATCCTCAGTGAGTCTTTAGAATGTTACTTTTCTTATGTTCATAATCTTTTTTAGTTTCACAGTAGACAGCTGAAAGTGATTTGAGAGATGTTTTGCATTCCATAGTGCGCACACATAAATATTTTGTTGTGGTTTTAATGGCTTTTGGGTACAGTGTTTTAAACAATACCAAAACCCTGCAAAGTGTATTTTACAGAGAGAAAAGTGAGGTGAGTACATACACCACAACCTGAGCCTGCATGTGGGGAGGGCGGGATACAAATGGAATGAATGAATGAATGAACTACTAATACTATTTTTAAACCACCTTTAACTTGGGGGAGGGGGGGAGGCTGCTCACTATTTCCAGGCTTATAAATGTCACCAGTTTGGTGTAGTGGTTAAGTGCACAGACTCTAATCTTGGAGAACCAGGTTTGATTCCCCGCTCCTCCACTTGCACCTGCTGGATGACCTTGGGCAAGCCGTTGCTCTGATAACAGCTGTTCTTGAAAAAGAGCAGTTTCTGTCAAGAGCGCTCTCAGCCCCACCTACCTCACAAGGGTGTCTGTTATGGGGAGGGGAAGGGAAAGGAGTTTGTAAGCCGCTCTGAGACTTCCTTGGGTAGTGAAGGGTGGGGTATAAATCCAGTCTCTTCTCTCTCTCTCTCTACTGCCCCAACAGGAATGTTAGGACTGGAGTCAGTGTGACGAACCACAATAATCTGGCTTCCCAAAGTGGGATGCAAGGCTTAGAAATAAACATGAACAAAGAAGATAGTGCAAGAACTTTAGTGGGAAAATGTCAGGGATGAAGCGAGTGTTTGGGGGTAGAGGGTTGTAGGAAAAGTAGGGTTGCCAGCTCTGGGTTGAGAAATACCTGGAGATTTTGAGGGTGAAGCCGGGGGGACAGTGGAGTTTGGGGAAGGGAGGGACATCAGCAGGGTACAATGCTGTAGAGTCCACCCTCCAAAGCAGCCATTTCCCCCAGGGGAACTGATCTTGGTTGTCTGGAGAGCCATTGTAAAAGTGGGAGATCTCCAGGTACCACCTGGAGCATGGCAACCCTAAGCACGGATCCCCATAGCTTAAAATATCTTGACAGTCATGTAAGACAGAAACTCCGTCACGGGTTGTGCTTCCCCAGTCCAATTTGAGAAAGCACTCAGCAGTCTTGTAGAGGGAGAATCCAGGCTAAAAAAACTTTATTAATAAAGGAGGGAAAATGCAGGCACAACAAGGTTTTGAATCCTCGAATACCCACAGCTCTTCCCTAAGGTTACAATGGGAGACATAAACTTTTATACCCCCTATGACAGTTACCGGTAGAAACAAATCATAATTATTGGTCATATATCTGTCACACCATTCTGATTGGGCTCCAACCTGTGGGTTGGATTTTCTCAGGCAAAAATATACCTCCTTCAGATGAACAATGGGCCTTCGTCTTCCCAGGTTATGAAATTCTAAAAGTATCTAATGTAGCAGATATGGGTACATAGTGGTGTGTGTTCTTCATCTAACGTAGGCTTAATGACATTAGGAATATGCACAGTTATAGTTGGCAAGAACAAGCAAGGTCACAAGCAGTATGATTGCCTGTCAGCATTTGGTATTTTACCCAGAATGCATTTAAGCAATGAACCAAAGTGAATCTCTCCTTATTATATATAATTGAATAGTGGGTGCCAAACTTCTAATTCTAAAATGCACTCCCTTAGTGTATGGCTGATGGCACTGCTCCTCAGCATATATCGCCACCAATCAGAAGGCAAAGCCCGGGTCCCGCCCACACCACAACTGCTGCAACAACCTGGTCTTTTGCATATGGAAGCTGATTGGACTTCACTCCATTCCACACCTCAAATTCCCCCCCCCCCCGCAAGGCAGTTGGAATGTCAGTTACATATGGAACCTGCTGTATTCTGGTGGTGTGCAGGTCCCAGGTTCATGTTTTAAAAGCAGACTGAAACTGTTTGTCCAAAGCCAGAGCACTCTCCCAGAGCCTCTTTCTAGATCCTGTTGTATTTATTTCCACAACGGGCCTAATTTCTAGTATCTTAATATATGTTCATGATTGATTTCAGTTACTGTGATTAGAATCATCAAAGGCACTTAACATATGCACCATGGAAGTGTTAAGTGCACCTACTAAGTTAAACTGACTGTTAGTCAGTGGCAGAGTACAAAGTGTTTCATAAGCGGTGCATACAACAGTCGGGGGATTTATAAATGTTAGGTAGTGGATGGTAGAGGCTTTTGTATCCAGATCAGCAGCTTTCAAGTGATATGGACTGGAAGTGTTCAGTTTATGAGGTAGGACACATTAGCTACTCTGAGAAGCATGAACCCGCCCTGATTTCCTCTAAAAAAGCTACCCATTTACAGACGCAGCCAAGAAGGCAAAGTCTGTCTTCAAATCCCCACCACCACCCAGATGGGTTTCTGTTGGCCATTTAATTCTGAAGCAGCTTTCAAATACCTGGAGGTTCCAAAAGAGAGAGGTACCAGGAGCAAAAGGCCTGAAGGAGTAGCAGTTGGAAACGGTCTCTTTGGTTACAAATTCAGTACGTAGGAACTGTGATTGCTGTTTCCTGTATTTTTTTCCTGTGGTGATATTGCTTCTCCCTTGTTCAATTTCTCTGTCATAGCAGTGGAGCTGAAAGTGTTTTGAACTGACTCTCTTGCTATCTTCTGAAGGGCTACACACCTGGTCCCATCATTTAATTTTTGAATTTATTTAAATATGTATACCCTACCAGAGATTGCTGAAAGTTTTGCCTCATATACATGGTCATGTCTATTAAACTGAAGAGATTACAATTTATAGTAACCAGATGGGAGTCTGTGAGAAATTGGCAGTTGGCAGACATCCCTCATAAATGACCCATAGCACAATGTTGCCAGACAGGTACTCAGAGTTCAGAATTTTGCTCTTCTCTTCCTGAACCTCAGCCTAGTGCAGAAGCACTGATGCATCTTATTGTACATTAGGTGAACCACTAGTGCCTGTGGGCCCATGTGACAGGATATAGTGACAATAAATACCCATAACTGAAAGATATGAAACCCGGCTGGGAGGTTAGCGAGTGGAATCTCACCACACCAATTAGTAATCTTAGGCAGCAAAAAAATAAAAATAAAAATCCCAAACACCGACTGTATTGGGGGTGCCGTAGAACAGCTGGATTTGAGTCCAGTTGCATCTCAGAGGCCAATGAGATTTTCAAGGTATGAGCTTTTGTGAGTCCAAGCTCTGATGAAGGGAGCTTTGACTTTCCAAAGCGCATACCCTGAAAATCTCATTGGTCTCTAAGGTGACACGGGACTCGAAGCTAGCACTCCTGTGAGAGAGTTATGCTATAAATTGAGTGAATCACCAAGGAGAGGGAATTCAGTAAGAAATACCTTTCTCAGGGTGTTCAGGATGTTGTCAGTTGGTCTTTCAGGTTCTGATGGGACATAGCAGTTTGTAGGATATGCTGGTCCCCAAACCATTCAAGGCTTTGTAAACAAAACCAGGCATGCTTCATTCTACTGGGATGTACAGTGATTGGAATCTCTCTCTCCTTGCAGGAGGTGATCGATCTGACTGGAGATGATCTGGTTGGGAAAACAGCTATGTACCATGACGTTGAAGTAATTGATCTGACACAGATTGAAGATACAATGGTCAGCCCTCTTCACAATGGTGGCTATGTTTCTCTGGATCTAATACACTCGACTCCAGCCAGCGTACAGCCTGTGTACTCTCCTAAAATCCTCACCACTCTGGATCCTGAAAGGACTCTTGATATGTCACATGTCCTGTGGGACAGGAAACAACCTTCCCCCAAGGAAGGTGCCATCCAACCAGCCTGCTTCCAAGGCAGCTTTGCCCTTGTCCCTAACTACAGTGGGGACTCTGAAAGCAGTAGCCATACCACTTTCAACAGTGATTTAGGATCCTTGGGGAGCCCACAACTGGACTCAGATGTTTTCTCTCTCTCTCCAGCCAATGACAGCAGTGAACACGAAACATTCCAGGACCCTGTAGAAGATGATCCTAGTAGCTGCCCACCTGAGGGAGATCTTAATCCCCAGCTCTCTCTTCCTGATCAGAGACACTCTCCAAGCTCCCGCTTTTCCCAATGTCCTCGGAATGCCACCACATTACCAACAGGTGACCAGTCTGTGGTAGAGAGAAATAACTCAACATCAGGTGGTGTAAAGCTGGATGCTCAGGAACCAGTTCAGCAGATTGACATCAAAGTCTGGATGAAGACATTGCAGTACTTCCCAGGGGTGCCTGTACATCACCCCTTCCTCCACAACGTAGTATGTGAAAAGGATGCCAGACAGGTAATTGGTGGGAGAGATCATTTTCCCAACCAGAATTTAGATATCAGAGCTTCCAATAAGCAAATGCACATATATCTTAAACTAAATATGTTAGTAGTGTCATGCTATGCAGACTGTGGAGTCCTGGAGGTTGTAGTGTATCAGATGAGCTAGAGGGTGAAGTTCTCCAGCCCCAGATGTCTGGTACAGACATTGGACTGGAATTGTAATGAGGAACATGATATTGTGGTACACTAGAACTATTCTGCCTCCTTGATCACAAAATCTTGGCTGTTAATGTAATGAGAGAGGGGAGGCATGACTACCAATCCCACTTGTCTTGCCTACCCAGGTCCGGATCATGCCATTAAACTGAAGCCTACTGTAGCAGGACTGGGTGTCTCCTGGGTGACCTGTAGTACTGCAGCCTATAGCCAGCTGGGTAAGGGACTAGAGTTCCTTGGTTCCATTTCCCAAACACATGCTCAGCCAGTTGTTTGTTCAGTCCTTCAGACATATAAAACAACAAAGTAGCAGACTACTCTTCCTGCCTCATGGCTCACATGTTCCCCTTGCTACTCCATCCACCATCCTTCCCAGCAAGCCTCTCACCGCCGCAGCCGCCGCCGCTGGGAAGGTAAGCGGCGAGCCGGCAGGGGGGGAGGAGAAAAAGCCGCGAGGGGCGAGCGGCTTGCCGGGGTTGGGGGGGGGAAGGAGAAAAACCCGCAAGGACCGAGCAGCCCACGATGTGCCAAGGAGGAAAGGGCGGGCGGGCGGAGAGCCAGGCTAGCCGGGATGGCTGTTGTGTCCCGCCCCCAGAAGCAGCAGCAGCTCTGAGCGCCTTCCTCCCGGCCTGGCTGCTGCAATTCCTTGCCTTCCCAAGCTGGGGAGGGTGTGACGTGCAGCGGCTCAGCTAGCCAAGGAGGCCGAGGGGCTGCTGCGCGGGCTCCCGGGCAACTGTCTGGCGGCGAGGGGGCGAGGGAGTCGGCGGTGGCGGTTGCGGCCGGTATCTCCATCCATGGCCCTTTGGTCGTTCCTGGTTCTGATGGTGGCGACATATAGTGAGGAGGCGGGAACAACCGAAGAGCAGGCGACCTGGGGCTGGGGCGACAAAAAGTGCCATTATTACGCGGGGGGCGAGGTGTATCCTGGAGAGGCATTGCGGATGCCCGTCACTGACCACTCCCTCCACCTCAGCAAGGCCAAGAGTAGGTGCCCCAAAGGCCCGTCGTCGCGCCGGGAAAGGCAACGGGGGAGGGGGGGACTCGGGGGAGTGCGTGAAGGGGGCGGGGAGGCACCACAGAACCCCGCTTCCCGCAAATAGCCGTGGCCTGAAAGCGAAAAACGGGGGTAACGGGTAGGAAGAAGACTAGAGGCGCCGCCCCACCCCCGCGAGTATCGCGGGTCCACCCCTTGTTAGATCTATCTTTGAAGATGCATGTGGCTCCAAGTGCCATCCATCAAGTGACTCAGGGGGCAGTCACTGGGGAAAAACTTTGTTCACTGGCATACTTGGTAAATGATACCCTGCTGAGTGTTGGTTAATGAAGCATTTATTGTGCCATTCTTTTCTTCCCTTAAACAATATTGAGCAAGGGTATTTTGGGGACCACTGCTCCCATGTGAACCTGCACACGCCTTAAGAGCTTCCATTAAAGTTTTCTCCAAGTATTGTTAGCAGATGGGTAGTTTGACATCCAGAGAGACAACAAGACCCACCACCCTTCATATAAATATCACCCCAAAATCATTTGTACAGGGCATTGCCTGGCCTAGAAAATGGAATCAAAATGGTTGTGAAACACATAAAATGGATACAGCCAAGCAAGTGGCTGAGAAACTATTTTGAAAGGTGAAATTATCACAGCAGACCACCTGGCATCCTCCTCCCCACTTCAAAGGGAGATGCATCATCGGGACAGTGGGTTTCCCAAGGAAGCAAAACAGATCTTGACACCTTTCATACAAATGGTAACATCTCATCCTCCACTCAGGGGGTCATCAATAAACATTCACACTTATAGATCACTCATAAAAAGGTTTCCAACATCACATCAAAGGTATCCCCAGAGAAAGCCATTTTTTTCAGTAAAAACCCTTCCAGTTGAATATCTGACTGCTTTATTTAGGTCCTTTCCGCACTGGATCTCATCCCTGGTTTTATCAGAGTTCAACTCGCAACACAATACCTTGCATTTATCCCTGATTACAGCATCCATTTATCCCAGGACAAGTGTGGGGCGAAACCAGGGTGACCCCAGTGTAATGTGGAAACAAAAAATACCCTGAGATAATTACAGGGGAACTCATGTGTAGTGTAGAATGTAAGTTCAGGGGCAGGGTTGAACCAGGATTGAAGGCCTAGTGTGGAAAGGACCTTATAGACAGTTTCTCTGAGGAACAATCCTGGTACATGTAAGTGAAGATTCCCATGTAACTTGCCTCTCAGTAAGCTAATTTCCCCCACTAAATAATAAATAACCAATTGGAGTAACAGTGTCCCCTCTTGAGAAGTAAGATGTCTGGCTCCCAGAAGCCAGACCATTTCTTAGAAGCACCTAAAAATTGGAATGCCTTCCTCAGGCACCCAGTGTGTGTGTGTGGGGGGGGGTCTGAGCCACCAATAAATAATATTTTATATTCTCACTGTTGGCAGCATTTGACAGCTGTTTCATTTAGAGGTATTTCCTTGTTGCTGGCTACTGATTCTGCTTTTATGTGTTTTAATTTTTTTGCACTGTGTGTTGGATTTGCCTGACTTTAGTTGTAAACTATCTTGGAGAGGGGTGAAAATGCTTTACGCATTCTATATTTCTCTGTCATAAGAGCTGCTGACATGCCTGTGATTTTAAATCCTCAGGCTATTTGCAAAGCAGCCCTTGAAGTTACACAGCGGAGTGTGTTTCCGTTAGGTCACTAAAGCTCTTCAAGCAGCGCAGTACCAAAGTTCTTAATGTAATATGTAATTTCGGTGTCTTACTTTGTGCATAGAACAAGCAACAGAAAGCCCGGCCTATACCGTCCCGTAGACTGAGCATGGTATCTAGCACTATTGAGGAGAACTTCTTCCGGGGAACCTTGGATTTCCTTATGGATTATGTATCCACCCAGTACTACCCCCCAAAGACGACCATGCAGGATGTGGTCAGACAGATTTTGCTGAGCTCAGAAGTACAACAAGAGATACAGAGAGATGCCTACATGCTGCTGATGAAAATACAGGCGTATGTATCCCATGTGCTACCCTTATTTTTGTGTGTGTGAGTATTTGTGTATATGCCTGGAAGTTATGGTTGACTTCTGGTGACCCCCTAGTGGGGCTTGGATATTTCAGAGAGGTAGCTTACTATTGCTTGCCTCTGAGTCCTGGCCATGGTATTCCTTGGAGGTGTCCCTTCCAAGTACTTACTTAGTTTCCAAGGTCTGACGAGATCGGACTTGCCTGGACTATCCAGGCCAGGGCCCATTGTATAGGATTCTGCCCCTCAAGCCTGTCCAGGAATGAGAGGGAACCCTATACTTTTTCAATACATTAAACAACAAGCCACAGAGGTAGGCTACCCTCTCTGGTTTCAGAACAATATGCCACCAGAACCTCTACAATAATCCCTCACCAGCCTGAGACTAGAGATTCAAGACTCTCAGTTGGCATTTGGGTTTTACACATTAGCACCTCTATCTAGAGATGCACACTTAATTCTTACAAAGGTAGCTTATATGGTGAGCAGAAGGCACAGGAGTTTAGCCTTGGAACTCAGTTACACATCAGAGACCATTTAGAAATAATCAGGTCTTTATTCAGTCCAGAGTCTTGCAAATAGACTACAAAAGATTTCAAAACAACAAGCCTAAGGCAGTTTGTCTTAACTACACAGTAAGGTACATAGTTACCATATCAGGAACATCTACAGTCCAGGGTTCCAGGGGATCTTGAAGGGAAAGCCCATTTTTGCACACCATGTGCTCCAGTTACCAAGTAGGTCTTTGTTCTCCCAGAGACCACATGTCCAGGTGCAATAAAACAACAAGCAGGGAGCAGAGAGCTCACGAACAGGAACAAGAACACAAGAGCAGCAGAGAGAACAGAGCTCTCTCCCATTGGGAATGACCAGTTATAGGCCAATTCCAGTCACAAATTAGCTCTGGCCAGGAGCCAACTGCGAGTGGACATAGGTGTGTCCAATTATTAGTTGTCATGGGTGCAAGTGGGGATAGGCTGGGAGTTTGGGAACTCCCTCTGCAGTCAGGTGACCCAACTTCCAGCCTTCCCCATCGGCTACGTGACTTCTGGCATGTGAGGCCTAGCTTCCAGCATGGAAGTGTGAAGAATGTGGGTTTATGGCATGGCAATTGAGGCCATGGGCCCACCATTTGGCTTGTAACAGGAAATAAGGCACAGCCTGTTACCAAAAGACAGAACAGGAGAATGCAGGAGACATTTAGAAATCAATATTTCTATACACCCATGTGCTACCCTGATGTTTGGTGCTGTCTTGCCGGGGACCACTGGTCCTCACTGTTGAAAGAGAACTCTTTCAGATTTGTAATGTAATCAAATTTGGTTGTATCTAATAAGAGCTTTTACAGACAGTCTCTGAATATGTGCTCGAACCGCATTTTATGCTGATTCACTGCTTGGAGAGGTACTGTGATTCAGTGGTAGAACATATACTTTGAATGCAGAAGGACCCTGTATTTGGCATCTCCACTTAAAGGAACTTGAGTAACCGATGATAGGAATTGCCTTCTCTGCTTGAGATCTTGGAGAGCTACTGCCAGTCAGAGCTAGATGCAAGCTTCAGATGTTCCACAAGTGTCTGTGATACACACCCCTTTAAGACTCTCTACTCAAACCAGGAACAAGAGGCTTGGAGGGAGTACACTATGAGCAAAAACCTTCCTCCCTCACAGAGTTCCACCAACTCCAGAGCAGGAGTTTCCTGTAATATACTTTGAGACCCTGTCTATACCAGTACAGTGAGCTCTTGTTCAGGATCCAGGGTACACACCAAATAACCACTGTCTTCTTAAAACAGAAGAAAACTTATTAAAAGAAAAGAAGCAGTAAGAATGCAAGTATCAGTACAGGTTCAAGTTTCCAAGGCCTGCAGAAAATAAAAACATAAGTAGCCTAAACTATATTATCCCATCTTACAGGCATAAAAATAAATCTCAGAAAGTCAAGATCAATGGAACCTTCTGTATAGAAATATTGATTTCTAACCGTCTCCTGCCTTCTCCTGTGATAACATTCTGTGTCTCTGTTTCCTGTTGCAGGCCAAATGGTCCAGGGCAGACCACATGGCCTGAACTACCTAAATAGCCATGCCATATAACCACACATTCTTTATCACCTCTAAGTGGAAGAGCCAGACCTGATGGCTCCTGGCTCTGGTGCTCATGGAGCATGTCACGTACACCATGGAGAAGCTGGAAGCTGGGTCACCTGACTGCAGGAGGGGCTTCAAACTTCTAGCCTATCCCCACACACAGCTATGACAACAAACAATTGGGCACACCCATGCCCACTCGCAATTGGCTGATGGCCACAGCTAACTTGTGACTGGAATTGGGCTATAATTGATCGATCCCTATGGGAGTGAGCTATCTCTTAGCTCTCTCCCTTCCTCCTCTTGTCAGAGTCTGTTTTATGACACCTGAAATGCTGCCTCTTGAGATACAAAGACCTGCTTTGTGACTTGGAGCACATGGCTTGCACGAGATGGGATTCTACCTGGAGTATCACCATGGACAATCTTGAACTCTTGGATGCTATCCTGACCTTGGTAACTATGGCCCCAGTCACACGGAGCATTAGCCACACTACAGAGATGGAAGATAGGCGGATTTTCCAGGCGCGATCACACCGCCACATCTGGGAAGCGTAGAGCTCCCGTGGCGAACCCGAGGCTTCCCGCCGAAGATGCAAGGTAAAAAACTAGTACCTCGGAGGTACTAGTTTTCGGAAACCGCAGGGCAAGGGCGGGCGCCTGATCGTGTTTCCGGTGGAATCCCGTGGCATCTGGCGCCCACCCATGTTCCGTTGCAAAGAAGGGTTTTTTTAAAAGTTTCCACAGGATGTGCACAAGCACCCAACGGCGTAAGCGCATACTTGGTTTTTTTTAAAAAAAACAACCCCGTTTGCCACGGCAGCGCCGCTTCTTTGCCGCGCCGTCTGATCGGCACCTCCCCGGGCTCCCCCCCCAACCACCGGACGTCAGCAGGACGTGTGAACCTGCAACCGCGCGGTAGTTCGCTCTGGGGCGAACAGCCACGCCTCCCCTCCCCCGCGATATCCGGCCCGTGTGACCGGGGCCTATGTATCTTTAATGTTTAGCTAAGGCAAACAGCCCTAGCCTTTGCTATTTTTGTTATCTCTGGTAGTCTATGCTAAGCTCTGTACTGAATAAAGATCCTCCTTATTGCTAAATTGGTTTTGATGTTGTAACTTGACTTCCAAGTCTAAGTCCTGGGCCCAAACGCTCACCATATACGCTACCATTGGAGAGTAAAGCATGCATCTCTGAGCTAGAGTTGCTATTGTGTTAAATCCCAGATGCTAACTAAGGTTTGGAATCTCTCCCTTAGGAAAGGCAGGGACTAGTGAAAAGAGGTTCTGGTGGCAAATTGTTCTGAAAACCGGAGAGGGTATAGCCTACCTTGTGGTTTGTTGTTTAATGTATTGAAAAGTACAGGATTCCCTCCCATCCCTGGACTGGCCTGAGGGGGCTAATCCTGTACACCTTCTTCATCCATTCAGGTAAAGTTGATAGAAAACTGGAACAAACAGCCTGCAAACAAGTATACTTTTGCAGAGCAAGAAGCACAGAGTGATGCCCTTCCTTCACAACAAGCGTGTTTCTCTAACCTGGCCTTCTCAAGACTATTATACAGTTACCTTGAGATGAACAAAGATGATGACTTCATGATCTTCACCTGGCCACTCAACAAGGTTCACTCAACACAAAATAAGTCCCTTCTGCAAAATGCTTTCCCCACCTCCTTTCTCTCACACACAAGGTCAACCGAAGCACCTGGATGGCACATTCTTTACTTAAACATCTTCAGAATACTGTTAACCCTTGAAACAGGCTGAGAAACAAATTAAGCCTGAGCTTATAAGTGTCATGTAAAAGCAATGTAGAATATACTGTTTCCGTACATTACAAATACGCAGAAAGTTAATGAAATGAGAAGGCATTGCTGTGAAAAAAGGTCTAATCTTGATGGAGGCTGTCACTTAAAAGGGGAAGGAACTAGGGAAATCTCATGGCTTCCCACCTTGTCCTCCCCTGTGCTGAGGGCAGCAGTGCTGCTAAGGGAGATGTGGAGACTCCCTTAGCAGCACTGCTAGCTGCCTCCAGCAGAGAAGATGGGTGGGTGTAGTTAGTTAGTTTTATTATTACGGTCTTAAGACCAACATACAGAGTAAGCATAATATGTGAGGGAGAGAAGAAGAAAACACAGTCATAATATACAAAAATAGAAATCTGAATTTAAGAACTTTTAAAATGCGATTCCCACAATCTAAGAATTAATGCACAAAACTCAGCAACTGAATGTGCAATCTCTACATTCTTATCTGATAGGAGCCAGTGAAGCCTTGCTTCGTTTGTGTTAATGTGCCCAGGTGTCCTATCAACTAAGGGGGTAATAATTTTAAGACGAGCCTCCCTGTAAAATGGACAGCTGAAGAACATATGCTCTACTGATTCAACCTTGCTTAAGGGGCATGGGCATAGCCTTTCAGGTTTTTGTTGTACCTACCTTGAATAACCACAGATGGAAAGGCAGAACATCTAGCTAGGGCAAATGCCCTTTTAGAATTCTTTCCCTCCGCTGAAGTCAAATATATTGCCGGCTCAATGGTGCTTTTGATATTTAACAACACCCTGAGTTTTGAAGCCTTAGAGATGTCAGATTGTCGCTCAATATCCTCAACTCTTTGTTTAATTAGCCCTTTGGCTTGTTCAAATCCATAGGATAAGAGTAGCTGAGGTGAGAAGCCAATTCTGTGAATATGATAGTAAACTGCCTTGATCCAACTGGATTAGAAATCATCCTGGAATATCAGGGGAAGCAAGCCTTGTGGATTGAAATGACCTTTCAGCCACATATAGATGGATAGAATACACGTACCCTAGCTTCAGTTCTAAGATTCCCAGACTCTAGTCATATCCAAGCATTGGATACTTGTGGAACAGCTTGTGGAACTTGTGGAACAGCTCTTAAAAATTTGGACTGAACTCTTTCTTGCGACGTAAAGCATGAGGAAGGCGGTCCTAAGAATGTTCCATAGAGCAGTTGTGCCAATGTTTTGGCCTTATATAATTTTAGGGCTGCTGGAACAAAGTGTCCACCATGAGTTCGAAAAAATTTAAGTATGGCATTTGCAGATCTTTCCCCCAGATCAGCAACGTATTTGCTGTGGTTAACCCTAGAACCGGAGGCCTGTAAAACTACGCCCAGGTATTTAAAACTATCAACTTGTTTTATCTGATGGCCAATTTCTGGGTTTTGATCTACTCCCAAACAGTGTTCCCTCTAAGCAGAGTTAGTGTGAGCTAGCTCACAGTTTTTTAGCTTGCGGCTCACACATTTTTGTTTTAGCTCAGGAAGGATGGCTCCAGAGCAAACCAATTTATTCAGTAGCCAAATCGCTTGCTCACAACTTTAATGCCAGTAGCTCACAATGTGGAATTTTTGCTCACAAGATTCCACAGCTTAGAGGGAACATTGCTCCCAAAGGCTACAATTTTAGTTTTTTGATAGTTAATTGTGAGAAGCTCATCTCCACAAAACATGCTGAACTTCATTAGGGCTCGCCTAAGACTAACTGGGGTTCAAGATAATATCACAGCATCATCGGCATACAGTAAAACAGATATATGCTGGTTAGCAAGTTTAGGAGGATGAAGATCAGAGGTGTTAAGCCAATTTACTATATTATTAATATAAAAAATGAACAAAGCTGGAGCTAATAGACATCCTTGCCTGACACCTCTGAAGGTTCTAATAGGATCAGTAAGATGGCCAAATCTACCGCATCTGACTCTTAGAAAAGTATGATCATGCAGGGCCTGTGATGGGTGCATGTACTTTGGGCATCCACCCTCCCCACCACAGGACCTGCTGAGACCAGGCCAACAGTGCTGCCAAAAACAGCTCCATGCCTCCTTTAGCAGAGCTCCTGACTAGCTGGCTCCTGTGGCAGGGAGGATGGGTGTTTTGTACACCCAGCCCTTCCTGCCTCAAGGCTGCAGTTGCATGGGGCTGCCTGTCAACCCTCAAATGGCAGAGATCTCATGATGTAATCTCATGAGATTTTGTTTGGCATTTATTTGGCTGAAGTTTTTTCAAAAATTAATTAATGTTATTTATTGTCCACTGTTTTCGCTGAGAATCAAAGTGGATTACATAAATCAGTACAATCAATAGGATGAGGAGACATCTAATAATGCAGTCGACTAGGACAGCAGAGATCTGAACCAAGGCAAAAGTCTTCAATGTGATTTGTTTAAGCAATGCAATAAATGGTATTACATAAGAAATATGATGCAGTGAGAACAAGATAAAAAAAATACAGCAACAAAGAATACATAGTAGTGTAGTCCACAGTCCTGTTCCCTTTAATAAAGCATCTTCCTGAAACATTCTGTTATAATGCAGCCTTAGTTTCTTTGTAAAAATGTCCTCCTGAACAGTTGTTTTGCATCGTTTACAGAAAGCCAGATGTTTGGGGGCCTTCCTGACCTCCTGGCAGGCCAGTCCATAGGGTGAAGGGATCACTAAAGAGAACACACATGTATGGGCAGTTATTCCAATTTTGTAGAGTGGCACCTGTTCAGATGCGTACTACCCAAGTAGCCCCATGTTGTGAATTTAAAAAAAAAAATCTACACAGTGGGTCCATGTTGGTAATAAGATACATGCTGCTTTCTGTATTTTTACTAAATCAAATAACCTGGATGCTAATTATCACCACTGTTCACAAGCTAGCTGAGAAATCAGTAAATCACACACTGACTATGACTCATGCTTTAAAACAAGAACTTGGAAGGAAAAGGTAAAATAGACCTCATTTTAAATTTCAGACTTCACCCAGCAAAAGCTGATACAGTGGTATGGGACTGGAACCTGCTACACGAGGTCATGACAGAGCAGGTACGTTGACTATACCCCATTGAGTGGGAAGCATGATTGTAACTGCTGTAATTCTGTCAGTCTTTGCTTTGTAAGGGGTTCCCATGCCAGCCTCTTTCTTAACAAGCTGGTTTGAGCCAAGGCAATCTAGCAGAGACTAATTTGCATTTATTTCAGCAGACAGAGAAGGAATGCTACTTAACAAGGCTTCCTGGTTCCTGCCAACTAATCAGGGCCTGCCTGTTCAATGACATTTTGTGCTTTTTAGGACAACAAAGCCATTCTGAATAGTCCAGTGAAGGGCCAAAATGAAGCTTGCCAAGAGCATGTGTGTTTTTCCCCCTTAATGTGCATTAAATCCTCAGTGCTTGGAGATTAAGGCTGCAGACATGATCCACAAAGCTGTTCTGCTTCTTATGCACAGGCAGCAAGCCTTAGCAATCCAGGGGGTACACGGAAGCTGATTATTGTGCATGGGCTACTGCTGTACCCTCTTGTTACAAAATGAGACCATTTTCTGTTTTTTTATGGACAGGGCAAGGCTCATTAATGCCAGTGAACTGGATTCTATTAAACTTTTCCACTAACATGGCTTCTTTCCTCTGGCATGAGAAGCTGTTCTGCCACCATAAAAGTCCTCCCACCAGAGGCAGGCACAGCCATTAACAGAAGCATTCTGTAAGATCCAGTCCACCATTTTTATCCCAAACTTGATAGAACAGTCTGATCTGGTCTGTATTCGAGAGAGGCAGTGCCATTTTAGCTTTTCTACAATGAAAGCTGGATATGTTACACAATTTCATACAACTGCAGAATTCAGCACACTGAAAATCGCAAGTTTCTTTTAAAATTTTCTTGTTTCTGTGCTGATGAAAATGATTAGAAATGCATGGGGTATAACTGGGGAAGTTTTGAAAGCCAGAGGTAGGTTGACTAGGATTCTCAGAGTATGGAGATTTAGTGCCCTGCCTCGTTGCTCTTGTAGGCTATAATGGCAGAGGGGGAATTGCAAAATAAGGAAACCTATGACTTGCATACTTTATGTAGATCACAGAATTTGAGTTACCTTGTTACAAAAAGGCATGGGGGGAGGCTTTTTTTAAACACTGAGAGAAAGAATAACGCTAGCTGCAATGCAGAATTGCTGCCTGACCTATTCTGGGCAAATTATTCTCATTCTTAGGATATGGTTTTCTTCTCTTGCTTGTACAACCATCTCCTGCAATTTGCACACTGGCTCGTGCCCATTAACTTCAGCACAGGCACTTCTGTTTGTTGTTCACTGATTCAACCAAGAGGAATCAGGCATGGCCATTCATACCTCATGATGAATTTTTCTGGCTCCCTCAGGAAGAAAAGTTTCCTGGACGATTCCTGTTCTTGAACTACGTGATCCAGACTTTGGAGGATGACTTCCAAACAACAGCCAGACAAGGCATTCTGCACAAATCCATTGCCAAGAAAATGCTTTCCTGTGACCAGTGCTTCAGCAACTTAAAGTAATTAGCACCTAGCCCACAGAGCCTACCTGTGGGTCAGGCAGCCAAAGCCTCAAGAGGTTTAACCTTTCAAGTGCTTTGTCCTATTGTGGTTAATTCCACCCAGGCAGCATTATGAGCCTGATAATCATTGCATACATGTGCTACCATATGAGTTAGTCTAAAGTTAAATACTGTAAAGAATTGCAAAGCATCCCTTGGACAAAGCACCCATGAATTTCTACAGTGGGATGGCTGGATAACTGTGTTCAAGCAAGTCAAGAGATCATAGAAAAGCATCGCTAATACTTATGTTTTTTGTCTTAGGGAACTGATTGACTGGCTAGTAGCTGCAGTCACTGGAACAAGATTTTCCCAGCACAGAGATCTGCAGGAAGCAAGCCCTTTGTCAGAAACATCAGTGGCCAAGAACAGCATTTCTGTACCAGAACTTCATTCAGCCAAAACTGCACAAATAGAAGATCTCTCTCTACACTTTCAGTCTCAGAGGTAAACAAAAGAAGGGTTTGCCTTTTCCTCTTTTTTGAGCATTGTGCTGCAGCTTTTATCTGAAGATGCTAATTTTTAACTGATTGAATCTGCTACTTTGAAGAGGATAGCTAGCTATTGCTTCTTGCCAACTCAGGGTGTCCATGGAAATAGTCTCCCTTTAGCTTGTGTGAACTTGGTTTGGTGCCAGCTGCTTAAGAATGTTATCGGTGAGAGGTACAGGTATATAAGTAATTTTGCATCAATATGGTCAGGGCTCCCAGTAAGTCTTGAAATCTTTATATTGCTTCCAATCAGCACTCTTGATTGCTGCTGAAAGTAACTTCCTTGTGATTTGGGCTCCATGTTCCCCATCCTAACAGCATATCATGGTGTCTGCCAGATCTGCAGACAGGATGCAGATTCAGACATTTTGGAGGCTGTAAGGAGAGACAGCTGCACACAAGTAATTTTGATGGTAGCCACACTGTTGGTCAGTTTGTAAAACAGTAGCCTGTATCCTACTCTTTATTCATTCACAAGTACCAGTCAGCAACAAATTCTGTTTACCCCATCCCTATCATATTTGAGCCAATAAATGTAATGTTCATCATCCTGGCTTCTGTGACACTCCACTTTTGGCTTGTGTGGGCACAAGGCCAACCATGGAAAAGATTCCCAAAGCCTTCTAGCGGACTAGGAACATCCTTCCTCCCTCTGATGCTTTCCAACCAAAATGAACACATGACCAGGAGTAGGAGTACTATTTCCTCAGTTCTCTTTTTGCTGCCACAAAGAGAGGATCTCCATTGCTGTTCTCTGTTTTTTCCTTACCTCATTCTTGAGGCTGAGGAGACTTGCTTCTCTTGAACGTTTTTTGTCATCAATAGTCATTCTAGTGATGAAGCTACATTTAAAGATGGAAAATTTCAGGCTTTTCACTGTCATGACCCCCTGTGAGTCACTACCTTCAGCTGCCACCACTCTGGACTTTGGGTCCCTTGAAAAGGCCCAGAGTACCCTCCCAAGACCATCCAAAATGCCCCTTTTTAAGCCAAGAACATAGGCATGATGACCAGACAGAGAACATAAAACAAAGGGTTTATTAACACAGTAATGGGGCATTGAATAGACAACAAGGTGCTTTAAATATATAACAGTGTTTAAAGGCAAAATAATCAAATCTAACGCGACTACCTATTTCACTATACTGGTTACTATTTCAAGGCCCACGGCCTTTGGGTAGTGAAGGGCGGGGTATAAATCCAATCTCTTCTTCTTATACCAGGCCTCCTGCCGGTACTCACTCTGTCCCAAGTGAGGGATCTTTCTCCTCAGACCAGACTATTTCCCTCAGTTTGTGAGAGGGAAGACCGCAGAAGAGGAAAAGAACACAGTTTTTCAGCCCTCAAAGCTTAAGTCCCAATCCCTCACACAATCTCTGTACACTGATTGGCTACAACCGTTGCTAAGCATTGTGGGGGTTGTAGGCTGTCTGCTCTCAACTCCCACACAGGCCTCTAGGCCTTTCTCCCAGTCTTTGGCTGTGTCAGTTCTAAGGGGTGAAACCTGGAGTTGTTGCCTGATAGAGCTCGGATTCAGAATAGCTTTTTTCTAAGACTTTGGCTGCAGCCTGCCTGCCTGCCTGAAGGAATCCCTTCCACTTCCTGACTGCTCTCGGTTTCAAAGTGAACCCTCGGTTTGTTCTGAGTTGGAAAGCCTGGAGGCGTAGGTTTGTATTGCTTTGGAATTTTACAAGGGCTGTTTTGTACAAGACTTTGGCTGCCTAAATAAAGGCACTCCTCCCTTTCCCAGCTGCCTCAGTTCCCAGGTGAGAAACCTGGAGGTATGATAAGAGCCTCTTTTACAGGCTTAGCTGTGCACATGCCTGACTGAATGAAACATTGTACTTACCTGAAGGTTTCTTCTCTTCAGTGTGGCGAAGGCATCCACACTGGTTAGGCCATGCCTCCTCTCGTTCAAGGCAGGGCTGTGCAAATTTTTGAGCATGCCCAGTAGGACAGAACGTGGGTGTCCCTCCAGACATGAAATAGCCTAGACGGCAACTAACTGCACACCACTCTCATGAGTATTAAACTGGAAAAACCAGCTTCTTTAATGTTAGCAGCAAACACCCAAGTAAAAACTCGATTGTAACATGAAAGACATGTCATAAACAACAAAAGAATTTTCTTTAATGTTACCCCCCAAAAACCACCAGGAAAAAGTTTAGTTGCCAACATGAAAAAACATAACTTTCCCACACAAAAAACAGCGGTGGGCATATTGGATGCCTTCACCCCACTGAAGAGAAGAAACCTTCAGGTAAGTACAATGTTTCGTTCACCTTCAGTGGGGGAAGGCATCCACACTGGTTATGTAGAAAAGATCAGTCAGTTACTCATCCAGTACCCGTTGTAGGACCCTCCTACCAAAGGCTGCCTCAATGGAGGACTGCTGATCAATTCTATAATGTCTGACAAAGGTAGGAAAAAGTAGACCAGGTCGCTGCCCGGCATATCTCCTCAATGGGGGCTCTTGTGGAAAAAGCAGTGGACATTGCAGCAGCTCTGGTAGAGTGTGCCGTCACACCTGGTAGTGCCCTGAGTCCCTGCACCTCATAAGCCTCTCTTATGCATCTCTTAACCCAAAAGGTTATCATGGTCTTAGATACCCTTTTTCCCAAGGTCTGATTCCCATAAGACACAAACAGAGCATCAGATATTCTGAAAGTCTCTGTTCTCTGTATGTACCACTGGAGGGCCTTCCTAACATCTAATTTGTGCCATTGTTTCTCCTTAGTATGTACTGGGCATGGACAAAAGGACGGTAATATCAACTCTTGGTTTAAATGGAAAGATGAATTTACCTTTGGCACAAAAGAGGGATCTGTCCTAAGGACCACAGATTTCTCCTGAAAAAAGCACAATTATTTTCTGACTGAAAAGGGGCCCCTAATTCTGAGACACTTCTAGCAGAAGTGATAGCAACTAAGAAAGCTACCTTCCAAGATAGGTGCCTTAGGTCAACAGCAGAAAGTGGTTCAAAGGGGGTTCTAGTCAGTGCTTGTAATACCCTTGACAAACTCCAAACCGGGAATCTGTGCTGAATTGGTGGAGCCAACTGCGTGGTTCCTCTTAAATACCTCTTAATGAGCTTATGTGTTGCCAATCTGCCCATTCCCCTGTTACTGAGGGCCGCAGCTATGGCCTCCACTTGTCTCTTTAATGTGTTGGGTTATAATCCCCTTTTCCAACCCTCATGTAGAAAGGTAATGACATCACCAATATCTGCCTTCATAGGATCCACCCCCTGAACAACCGCTCAACTGTTAAAGGCTGCCCGGGTGTAATTATATATATGTCTTGTGGCTGGACGTTATGCTTGGAACATGATGTCCACAATGTCCTTAGACAGGCCTGATAGTTCTAAGTTCTGCCTTTCAGTCTCCATGGCATCAACTGAAACCATTCTGGATCTGGGTGGAGGATGGATCCATGATGCAGTAAATCCCTCACACTTGTCAATCTCCTGTCAATCTCCACGGATCTTCTACTGACAGTTGAACCAGTTCCGAGAACCACATTCTCCTCGGCCAATATGGAACTATCAGAATCACATCTGCTGCCTCCTCCTCATCTTTCTCAACACCCTGCTGATTATAGGGATTGGAGGGAAAGCGTATAGAAGACCCTTCGGCCATCTTACAGGGAGAGCGTCCAGTTCCTCTGCTTCCCTCTCTGTGAACCTTGAGAAATATCTTGGTACCTTTCGATTCCTTGCAGAAGCGAAAAGGTCCATCTGAGGCATCCCGAAGCGTGCTATCAGTCCCCTGAACACTCGGCTGTTCAGGGCCCATTCTGCTTGATCCACGTCCTCTCGACTCAACCAATCTGCTTGGGTGTTGAATACTCCCTGTATGTGTTGAGCTTGCAGACCCTTCCGATTCCTTTCCGCCCATGCAAGTATTTGCATTGACTCCAAGTATAATAATGTTGCTCTTGTCCCGCCTTGGCGGTTTACGTGAGCTTTTGCCATTATGTTGTCTGTACATACTAGTACAAATTTTCCTCTTATCACGTTCGTGAAGGCCAGAATGTTAGCCAAATTGCCTTAATTTCTTAATTAATATTGGGGAATTATTAAAACTGGAGAATGAATAAAATGATGTGGGGGTAGTGATGAAAACTGGATCTTGTACCCAGATTCCACAATAGAGAGAAGTGCTCCTTCCAAGCTGTTGAGTCTTGTGAGCAAAATTCTACTTTGTGAGCTACTGGCATTAAAGCTGTGAGCAAGTGATTTGGCTACTGCATAAATTAGTTTGCTCTGGAGCCATCCTTCCTGAGCTAAGACAAAAATATGTGAGCCAGAGGCTAAAAAACTGTGAGCTAGCTCACACTAACTCAGCTTAGAGGGAACAATGGAGAGGACCCAAGAATCTTAAGTGGTCCTTCCCCATTGTGGGGTGAAATCTTGCAGCCTCCCTCCTATCATGGAGTCATGCTGCTGGCTTTTTCCCTTGACTGTCATGGTCCTTCTTGGGTCCGGAGAACTGCTTACTCTGAAATCTTGACTGGGAGGAGGAAAAATGGCCTCCTCTATTGTCCCTGTAATCTCTGCCTCTGAATGGCGGCTTGTAAGGGTGAAAGGACTGGAAGGCTCTTGGCCTAAAGTTCTTTTTGGAATCAGCTGATGACGGCATAGCTCGCTTCTTTTCCTTGGTCTCCACTAACACCTTCTCCAAAGGACCTTCACCAAATAGAAGACGTCCCGAAAACTTTTCTGTGGACAGGTTTGTATAGATTTCTACCCCCAAGCCTGTCCAGGAATGAGGGAGAAACCTATACTTTTTCAATAAATTAACAACAACCCAGAGAGGCAGACTACCCTCTCTGGATTTCAGAACAACAGCCACCAGAACCCCTTTTTAACTAGTCCCGGCTTTCCCAAGGGAGGGATTCCAAACCTTTAGGATAGCCTCTGGGACATAACACATTGAACAACTCAATCTAGAGCTGCACAGTTAATCTTACCAAGGTAGCTTGTATGGTGAGCAGAAGGCACAGGAGTTTAGCCTTGGAACCCAGTTACAACATCAACACAGGTTAGAAACAAGGATAATATTTTATTCAGTCAGAGCTTAGCAATTAGACTAATAAGGATTTCAAAATAACAAAGACTAGGGCAGTTTTTGCCTTCACTAAACATAATGCTGCATATTTACCAAGTCAGGAACAATTATCAGTCCAGAATAGTCCATTGTGATAATCCAGTAGCCCCAAGGGATTTGGAGCAAGAAGTCCATCTTTGCAAGCATGTGCTCAGCTCACAAAGCAATCCTTTGTCTCTCCCAGAGACAGAATGGCAGGACAACATTCAGGTT